ATCACCATCATCACCATCACCATCACCATCACCATCATCACCATCATCATCATCATCATCATCATCATAATCATCATCATCATCATCATCATCATAATCATCATCATAATCATCATCATAATCGTCATCATCGCTATTATTATTATTAATATTATTATTAGCTTTTCTTTCTCGTAAAGGAATCTTTTTCTCCTTCCTTTGTCTAATTTTACTTTGTAACGATCGTCGAGACTTGGTCCCAACCGTGAACGGTGAGTTTTCTCGTAATCGGATCCGCCGACCGTTAGATCGATCGTCGGCTCGAAATCTTTATCTCGTTTCTCTGTGTCCCGAGAACGACAGGAAAGGAAACGCGGGGCAGCGATTCGTTCCGGGCCGAGATGGGCGATCATCTCGAATAAACGAGGAAACAAGAGAAAAGAAAAGAAACGATGAAATATTTGCTATGCGCGAAAAGAAAGAGAGAAATCGGTTCGAAGCGCGTTGTCTCAGGATATTCTGGCCGACAGCGGCGATCGAATCGGAGAATCGTATAAAATCCACCAAATTCCTCCCAAAACGGGAACGTCCGACGAAGCGCGTGACAAGGGAAACGATCGACGATCGATCGATACACCGGAACGGTCGATCGATTTCCGGCGCGTTCGAACCAATCGAGATTCAATCGACCCGGTCGATTTCACCGGAAATCCTGGGACATCGCACGTGCAATTCGTCGCGTTCGTCGGAAACTTTAACGAGTCTTAACCCCTTACCCTACGACCTCTGAACTGTACCCGACGCGACTGTATCGTTCGATTCCGATAGAGAGACGAGAACCTTCCACTCGTTCAGCGTCCACGTTCGCTGGAACTGTCGAGGATCGACGACAGACGATATTTCGTTCGCGTTAAAAATAAATAAATGACATTCACATCTGTCGAATTCAATTCGGAAGTTTTACGAGTCCGACGCGTTAATCGTAAGGCGAGGGGTTGACGAGCTTGTTTAATTAGTTTCGGAATTGAACGAAAAGGAAAAGAGAAAAGTGAGAAAAGAGAAAGAATCGACAAAGGAAACCGAACGTCCGTGTTGAAACCTTCGTCACGCTAGAGACTGTGTGAATTCGCACAAACGTCGTTTATTTATTCATCATTAGCATTACGATTAACCATTATCATTATCATTATCATTATCATTATCATTATCATTACCATTATTATTATTATTATTATTATCGTAATCGTTATCGTTACCATTACCATTATGCTATCCGAGGAAAATGTAGCCCATCTCTGCCGACTGAGATTAAATAACGAGGACACGACAGAGACCCTCGACGCTTTCTCTTTACGGAACAACAAACTATTCTCCGGTTTAACAACATTCTCTACCGTATTCTCCGATCTTGCGTTTCACTAGAAAATCAACGACGAAATTCTAAACAACAGGACGATACGGAGGTCGTGTCTCTGTGTCTTATACTCCTGTGTCACGTGTCTGTGTGTCTATGTGTGTATGTGTAAAATAGAACGTTTCTTCGATAGTCGATAATGAATAAAAAGCGACAGACAGTTTCATCTTATTCGCGAAGAAAAATCCAATCGCGGCTCCGCGAGATCCCGCGCTCCTTTCCCATCCCGTTCTCGTCACGTTCCGCCATCTTGAGCGACTCCGTTTACACCGCTCAACGCGTAACGTTTCTAAATGGAAAACAAAACCATGGACGCCACGAGAACACTTCTAACGAACACCCAGAAAGCAAAAATCATTAGAAACAGAGCGAGAGAAAGAAAGAAAGAGAAAGAGAAAGAGAAAGAAAGAGAGAGAGAGAGAGTCACACGCGAACAATTTTCGTTACAGCACTATGCACAGAACAGCTCGCGCGACGAACGCAACTTCTTCGAATAGTACGGACAGAATCGATCCGAATCGATCCAGCCGTTCGAGGGGACACTGCACGCGGTGTCCGTGGATCGACGGTTCTCCGGATACTGGATCACCGAGAGTTTACCTCGCGTGATCCATCGGTCCCTTCTCCTTCGACGATTTCCTTCCCGTCTCGTTTCCCATTGTTTTATTGCTTATGGTACAGGGACGCAAGGTCGATTCGACGCGAGCGATATTCTCCCGCGAGGAAGGACTACGGTTCACGGATTACGGTTTACAAGCTGCGGGAACGACGAGGGCAGGCAGACGGAGAAGACAATAGGAGAATATCGAGCACGTTTCAACCCTTTGCACTCCATTTGCGCCTCTAAGTCGCCGAATGATTTGAAACAGCAAAACTGTAAACTTTGATATTCGATATTAACCCTTTGCACTCGAGAGTATTTCTCTCGATAAATATTCGTTACTTTCCGATGAAATGTCAATGATATTTCTTTAATTAATTGAATTAATTAACGTAAAGAATAAATTTAGCGACAGAACTATTTTATTTCGATGTTTCAGGTTGTTCGTACGTTATATGAAATTTAACATTGAATTTGTTATTTTACAATTTTCTTGGGTTAAATCGAACGGCGACTGGAAGGCGCCTCTCGAGTGCAAAGGGTTAAGGATCTCCGCGGTTCTCGGCCCCGGCGAAAGGGTTGAACGCTAGGAAATCGAATTGTCGACGTCAGGCGTCTCGGTACCTCGGGCAGTGGCACGTTTCGGTTTTCCACGGGTGAAATCGTCGGACAATGCCGGATCGAACGAACCTGTTCCGTGGAACAGATTTTTTCTAACGATTCTACGATCCTCGGCCGCTGCGTCCCCCTTCCGGTTCTCCGTCGAGCACCCGAGAAGCGATTCGACTGGTCATCGTATGGGAGAAGAGCCTCGGATTATGGGTTTTTGAAATCGTCGTTGCTCTTTAACCCTTTGCACTCGGAAGCGTCTCGTCAGGGATACTTAACATTTCCTAACTAGACGAAGAAGAGATTTTTTGAGACGAACTCAACGAGAAGTCGCAGGTAAATCGTGAAACAAAGCTGTTTTACCGCAATTAAACGCACACCGATGCACTATGTACAGTTCAACGTTAAACATTAAGTTTTATAGTTTCGCTGCATCGAGTCACGCGGTGACCGAGAATCACCTCTCGAGTGCGAAGGGTCAATCGACTTCGTGTCGATCGGTAACAAGGAAAAGGGACCCGATTGGAGCCACGTTTCTTCGAGGGCTCTTCTTTCGCGCAACGAGGAGAACGACGGCGCTGCTCCCGCGACCTCGGGGTTTTCTCGAAGGCTCGTCGCGACAGGAAGACCTTGACCTCTCGTGACGTGTAACAAATGCGAGGTTCGCTTCGGGAACGGAGTGTCTTTGGTTTCGAGGTATTCGCAGGTTTCCGTTTGAATGGATGGAAAGTATTTCGGAAAATATCTGGTCTCGAACGATTATTATTAATAACAGTTTGCCACGAGCAACTTATAAGGACGCGCGACGGTTAACGGTTGGAACGACTTGGACCGTGTTCAAGATTCTCTTGCGATTTACGTGCGATCAGGTTGAAACAGACAACAACGCCGGCCGTCGACGACGGAAAAAGAAGCGAGTGTGCTCGGAAAGATCGCGTGCGTGCGTGCGTGCGTGCACGAGAGT